TATGTGAGTTTTTAATGCCCGGAGGTAAACTACAGGAAATTCTACTATTAGATTCAGTCATTGTTTAAATTCTTTCAAAATAAAGTTTTACTTGAGTTTACATTGAATTTTATTTACTTAAAATGACAAGAGTAAAATAGTTGTAGGATAAAATCAATTTTTACTTATTCCATAGTTATACATTAGCTACAGTTTATATAAAGGTAAAAAGTTTATAGGTGATTTTTATCATTCATTTAGCATTGGGAATAAAAGAACAATAAACAATCGTTTGTAATTCATGAAAGAATGATGCTGAAGTGTTCTAAGCTGAAATAATACAGCTGTCCAAAACAACAGTCATACTAAAGTCCTATAAGTGATGATAATATACTCAGTTCAATTTAAACTCTATAAATCATTCGATTCAATTACTACTTACAAGCATATTAGCTTCTGCAATGATTCCTAATACATTCGACTCAATTCTACGCACGGTTTTATTGTACAGAACATTGTTTCTTTTCATCGTGAATATTATTACCATTTTATTACTTGTTTACTTCCTTCCAGTTTTAGTCATACAATTTTCGAAATCTTCAAGAGTTTGTATATGCAATGAAACTACAGTTATTCAGTCATAAATAACTTGAGAAATAAGTTTTATATTGATCCAAGTAGCCTAACATGTAATTAACCCAAATCTATTGAATTAATGCAATATTAAGCAGACAATATGAAATGATAAATTTACTGGTAGTTAATATCAATTGTATGAAATCTACTTCATAAACAAGAAATGAATTATGAAACTCTATGACTATTTCACATTCTCCAAGTTCAGAAAGTTACTCAGAAGTTACATACAAACTTTTTACAGAACAAACTATTGTTTCGCTTACATTGTTTTATAAATCAATAAATTTCTATTTCGTGTTAACATACTGATGATTGTGTATTGAATCTTCCTATCAGTGTAGAATAATCAGATAAAGCTTAGTAGGCAAACGTAATTTTCATAAAGCCAGTTATTTCTATAAATGAATAAACTACTGTCATTAACATATAAGCGACATTTGGTAAAAGATTAAAAAAATATCACTTAAATTGATTAGTATATAGTTTGACATAAACAACTATCATTTCCGTTAAACCTGATAAGAACAAAGAAGTGGTCAATTAAATCCATATAATTCAAGCATCAACTAGAAAGTTTAGCATTTCAGATTTCAAAAGCAACGTTCTAATTGAATTGCTCAAAATAGACTAGAATTATACATTATACAGCCCCCAAATGCCCTGGTATGGCCAAGAGTAGGAAGATTCAGCCCTTCCTGTCGGAACGCTCTTAAATGGCTACACGTATACAGCCACTTTAGTGTCGGTTATTATGTTAAGCCCATATACCTTATTCTAGCTTTCGGACAGCCCATTCTATTCATTCTACTTGAGTCAAACTCTGACCTTGTTAATTATTCGCTTATCTATCTTGACTGTTTTTATATGAGCGCGTAGGTGTGTGTACACTTCTTATCCCATTACTCATCACATGTCTGTAACTTACTTTTGTGTAACTGTGAGTATTGATTAACTCTCGGTTAAATGGGAGTTGGCTTATCCGCCATCTCCACTGCGCGTCGTTTTGCTTTGCTCTATACAATATATATGTATTCAAAAGTCCATTCTCTTTATTTGACTTATCTAAATCCGTTATCGATTAACGCGATTAAAGTTGATGATTATATACGAGGATAGGCGACATATATATCTCAACAACAATCATCATTACGATCTCTTTGGAGTTAGATCTCGGCCACTAAAGTGGAGAGCTTTTCCGACAACACATCTGAATAACGATTAAATAACGGCCTCCACGAAACCACTGACACGGAAGTTCTATTCACTACCTTCTCACGTTAGGGAAGTTATTTACAAAATCGAGAAGCGAAAAGCAAATGTCCGGTGCTTTAGCTGGGTTTGTGAACACGTAAGGTCCACCTAGAGGAGTTGAAAAACCCCGATTGCATACTAATGATTCACATGGGCTTCAGGATCCTGAAGGAACAAATGGTGCATGAACCAACTGTTGGTCACCGGCTACCATGGGACGACATCTCCTGATATTGCTTAACTGCCTTGTAGATCGGAAGTTTAGATCGAAGACTGCAAGTGTGTCCCCCTAAGAAAACCACCTGCTTTGGTTTGGGCACAGCCTACACCCAAATCAAGTAATTTGTGTGGTGCATATGTATTCGGTGCCCCTTTGTGCCAATATTTATTCGTTGAAACAAATAAACAAATAAATAATAAATAAACATTGTAAATGCAAACCAAAATCAATCAATTCCAAACTTAGAGTTCAAATTTGTATATTTAGAGCAACAAAAGTTAAAATAAAAACAGATGAATGAGTTTAATTGAAATTTGAATGAAAAGGAATGATGAATATATCAATGAGACGAATTTAATAATTTGAAACATGAAAACATTCCTACGTAACATCTAACTTCTCTAAGAATAACATATAACTTCGTGGATTGGTTGAGGTTAGATATTAACACCATTGGATAACTGTTCAGTGGTCCAGTAGGTTAAGCGTTCGCGCGTGAGACTGAAGGCCCTGGGTTCGGATTCCGCTAGCGGGATCGTGGATGCTCACTGCCGAGGAGTCCCACAATAGGACGAGACGGCCATCCAGTGCTTCCAGGTTTTCAATGGTGCTCTAACATCATTGGTTCATGATCTCAATCAATAACACATATGTTTGACCACAGTTTCGATAATAAATACGATATGTTTGGTTAGATTAGATTATAAATCGTCACTGAATCCTTAATGATATACAAATGGAGATTAATCTATTATTCTCTGTGTAGTATGAATTGTATATATATAATAAATGAATGTGATTTGTCCCTTTTCATGTTAACTTATGGAACTAAATATAACAATCAGATTATTGAGATTTTTCGTGTAATCTAATTATTAGTTAATACCAAAAAAGCAACAGGATTTCAAATTAATAACACTAAATTTAATAAAACTGAATATCTAAGTGAATTGTGATAGTTAACATCTGATAACAGATTAGAGTAAATAAAAACGAATGTCTGTCACTGAGTGCAGTGTTTTGCAGTTAACCTTGATTGATGTTTTAACTGACATTAAATCTGAGGCAACATGTGATGTTTCTAGGTTATAGATAAGTTTTAATAATTCATATCAAGAAGAAAAAAATATACGCAATTTTTTATAGTTTTCGTCAAGAACCGGCATTAGTTGAATAAACACTGAAAATTCTGTCCTGTTAAATATTTGTCTTTTTTAAATTTTAGACGGTTAAGCAGCCCTCGCTCATGATCCTACACCTGAAAAGAATTGATCTCGTCATCATCATCCGGTTGATATTTATCGTTACATATTTCCAACTTCAACCAATAGATAATATGAATAAACTCCAGTTATCACGGTTGCTCACCAGCATGACAAGAATACATGGCAAATCCACTCTTTAAATAACATCAAGTCATTTTATAGCTAGGTGATTTGTTGAGATTAAGTTGTTGGATAGTTTGTATTTTTGACTTGCTTTAAACTTTCATTTGGGATTTTAAACCTGTAGTGTTCATTGTGAAAATGAAATGGTAACTGTTTTGACTCGATTTTTGGAGTATTTTTTTGTTTCCAGTTCAAGACATTTCCTTTACAAATTTAGTAGTCATGATTCTAACTGCTCTTTCTATATGTGTAAGGCAAACAGTGAAGTTACCGAGACAAACATAGAATACGTTTGAACTGACTAAATATGGTGTAGTAGTTCATTTTGAAACAAACAACAAGATTTACAACTAAATACTTGATATTTTCTATAGAAATTAATTCAGTTTTGCTTTTGCATTAGCTATGAATGTTTTCATGGAATCAGTTATTTTATTGGTAGACCGTAATTGAATGAATTAAAAAGTACTATGGCTAACAGGGGACATTTGTAACAATGACATATCGCTAAAGTTCACCAATGAAAATTCTAAATCCCTTCTTCTTGTCCATTCATTTCAATCACTATGGGAAATTTGATCAGGTATTTCTTAGTTGTGTACATTCGTGTTTTCTTGATATATTCAAAAAACTGTAATAAAACCAAACAAACGTATTGGCTACATTAACATTTCAGTGAAAACCTATTTAATTTCAATAGTTAAATTCGTGAGTTGATGTAAGCTATACCATCATCGAAAACCATGAAGTACTGTACGGCCGGTTCGTCCTAGTATGGGACACGTCCATGGTGGTCTAACTTACATCGACTGGTGAATTCAACTATTAAGTTACTACAATCTACACAAATCCCAGTTTGATCACGACCATCATGTTCAAGATGATTCCCTGTGATTCTAGTGAAAAGCCACGAGCAGTGGAGTCCAATCCGTGTCAGATAGAGATAGGTATCTACCCCAGACAATCGATGAATGGTTGTACAACCATTTGTTGATCGATAGGACGTAGACATTAGCACCACTGGATGCTGGCTCAGTGGTCTGTAGGTTAAGCGTTCGTGTGCGAGACCGAAGGTCATGGAATAGAATCCCGAATGGGGGTGAAGGATACAATGCCGAAGGGTCCCATACTAGAACTAAACGGCAGCCCAGTGCTTACAGGTTTTCCATGATGGTCCAGCCTGCATTGACTTATGAATTCATCTGTTGAATTGCTACAATCTCCACAAACCTTATTCTAGTCATAAAACATGTATAAATAGCTAGTAATGTTTAAAACAAATGTTGTGTTGCCACAATAAATCATATTTGTACAAAAGCTTTTTAAACTGATATTCAACATTTTTTATCTCACTTTCTATATCATTTTATACATGAGACCTTAATTCAGAGTCTTAATGTGAGAAATATCTTAAGAGTTAGAGTCAGTAACACCAAACTCAAAAATAGATCATCAAGGATTTTAGCTTTATTAAAAAAATAATAAAAAGCAAATAAATAATTTGTTGCATAAGATGAACTTACTCGTAACCATATATTTAAAGAACTAGATCGTGGAAATGGTTGTCCCATATCAGTTGCAACTAAAATAAATGAGAAACTAGAAATTTCTTCACGATCTAATGTTTTTAATATAAGTAATCCAGGACCATTGTAATCTGTAGCTAAAGCACTAAATTCATTAGTATCAGTATTCAAATAAACTTTTGTAGGTATAGACATTTTGTCAATATTGCTGTTTTGTACATTATCTATTAATTTAAAATAATCATTCCATACAGGTTCATTATTTGGTAATTTGATAGAATATTGTACATAAGCATTTAATCCTTCATCTAAATCTGTTGCTTTAGGTAATGGTATCCATCTACCGTTAGGTGTATTTTCTATAATATTTATTACAAATCTACCATAATTATCATGTTTATTAATTAATGATTTGCCAAATATTAATTCTTGAAATTTCGGTGCATTATCATTTAAATCATTAATATCAATACGAAGAAAATATGTACCTTTTGATGAAATAGTAATATCTAAAAACATACAACATGGATCATTAAAAGTATACATATTTTTACTATGAAGATTAGCTTCGATGTTTGTTATTGTTGTTGCTGCTGTTCGTGTATTTGTTGAACAACATAATTGAGAAATTGATATACGTTCTGGATAACGTTTTATATCACATATTGTTTCACGATTTACTGGAATCATTGAAGTTAATTCATACCATGGAAATTTTGAATGATCATCATTTAATCTTCGACGTATTATAAATGGTTCACTTTGTTCTACATCTGAGAAATATAATGGTCCATTTATATCATCTATAGATAAATGTAAATTTTGTAATAATATATCACTTAAATTTATAGATAATTGTGAATTAATTGGATTTATTGGCCATGATGAATGAATTGTATTAAAATTAGATTGATTTATAAATTGTTCATTAGAGTATTCAGTAATTTTTATATTTGCAATACTTTGACATCCATCATAGAAATGAGGTAGATATGTACAAATATAAAATACTATCCAAAATTGAAAGAAATTATAATAGTAATTAAATAGCATCAAATTCAATTTGATATGAAAGAATGAATGATGTTTAATATTCATTTATAAATATGATATCTGTTATAAGAAAAAAGAATAGTGAGATAGTATGATGAAATAGTTAGTTCAGCATAAAATCAACTTAATAATTAGAAAATCATCATAATGTTGAGAGAAAAAAGCTTAAATTAAGAATACTCAGAAAATTTGTTGAAAGGATGTTTCATGCCGCTAAGCTACATATAATTTTCTCAATTGAAGTAATACTTACACAACAAATTAAGGTTAGGTTAACGATGATGAGCTCTTCCATGTTTGTATAGGCATTCAACTGCACCTGTGGTGCTAGATACATAGGCCAGGGTTTGAGGGCTTTGTTCTTCAGTTTTCGTGAACATGTACTAGCATGGTTGGGAAAAGGAGTTACTAGATCGATTAACAGTACTATTCTTTATCACTTGATAAATAGTAAATATCATATCGAAATAGATGAAGATTTCTCTGTTTTATGTCAAGTTCTAAAGAATCTACGTTGAGGAGCTAGATTACAATTACTCTACATAACTAAAGTTATCTGGATCAACTCCAGAAAACCGAACTTATATATCCAGAAGAGGTATACCCAGCCTCTATAATTACCGTGGTGCACGACTGGATCACTAGATACCTAAACTGGATAATATAAACCTCTTATTCCCCATCCCAATTCCTTTTGTGTTTATTTATCATTCTTCTCATTCACCTTTACCATTTACATGAATTCTTTTACGTCGTAATGACCTTGATAACATCCCTTTTATTACATATTATATTCTCACAATGATCTTATTATCATTGTTATTACTATAATTGTTACCATTATTACCTCGATTGAGAAGATTAAATTGGCCTACCGTGGATTTTATTCACACGATTTCTTTCATTTACATTTTTGCTATATTGCTATTATACTGATTGGGACTTGACGCTACTCTAACTCATTCTGACCTTTAATAAATGACCTTTCTAATTTACAAATAACACAATTTTAAAGTATTTGTATCGTAACAGATGCAAACGTTCACCATATTTAAACTATAATATTGTAATATTCATTAATACATGTCCTATTTTAGCATTTATAAAAAATAACAATAAATATGAACTTATAAGTGTAGAGCCTGGTGATGAAGTTATTGAAAATAATCGTTCGCTCAACTAGTCTTCATTTTTAATAGTACTTCTTTGTCGACAAATAACTTAAAATGATATTCCAAAAGTAATTACACGACAATGAAATGACCAATTTATCTGAATATCCAAATAAATTATCAAAATTTCTAAATTTGATGCGCTAACATCCAGTTTGAAGGTATTTGATTCAAGAAAATGTCAGTGAGATCAAACATAATTATCCACCAATAGGTATAATTGAAAAATATCAATCGAAGAACTTTAAATTCTAAACAATCTTAATGATAACATAATTTCTTACTTGATATTCTTTTGTATTTTAGTGTATATACGAAAATACATGGAAGTCACATATTTTTTGAAACGGTAATGGGTTATTTGATTTTATTATTCATTTATTTATTTATTTGAACACATAAATATTGGTACAAGAAGGCACCAAATATATATGCACCACACAAACAATGAGAATTCGAAGAGAAGAAAAAAAGAACAATAACGGATAGATTAGTGTAAGGTGATGTAATAATAATAAAAACAATAATGGGGGAAACGGAAAAGTACAACCAGAAGAAATCTTTCATTTAAGAAAGACGCAACCATTTTTTTAAATAAAGAAAGTGAAAGAAGGTTACTGCAGGATCGCCAACGGCTTCTATTCTGAGTCATATCTGATAACGTCTCTTGCCACTGTGTTGCACTATCTCTAGGACCCCACCCAGGGAGTCGTGAAGGACCAACACAAGCCAGCCCTTTGCAGCTTTCTTTCATACCCTGACACCATGTCATACACTGACCACAAATATAATGAAAATGATGTTATTTGATTTATTCACTTACATACTCGTATATGAATCTGATACGAAATGTACCAATGATTTTTATACATAAAAAATTAGTTATTTGTTGAAATTAAATAGTTTGCTCTTCAGAGACAAGAAACACAAGTCTCATTATAAAGACAAGTTTTCTTTTTAACTATTGAAAGCAGCTTATAAAATACTGAGAGGCAGGAAGCACGGAAAATCTGTTTCTTCATATATCGAAATTTCCCAGTAGTACATTACCACCAAGACGAAATCTTTATTGTAAATCAGATTAATCTTTTAACGCTCCCAACCATATCACATCACAAATAATATATACTATCGACTTATTAGATTTAAATGCATTATAAGTTGTAAATAGAGCTAAGTTAACTGTTCAAAGTATCTAGAATCGTATTCACTAATTATTAACTGGCATGTTTTCTACTTACTTTCGTTCATTTAATTTCATATCCCCTTTTCACTAATAGAGTATGTCATTGATTTCTTTCTAACATAGTAACTAATGTATATCTTGAAAAATTATGTAATTGTATACATAATTAAGCATCACCCCAGATATTCATTCTATTGGGATGAAGCAGAATAAAATTCAAACTTACTATTCAGATTTGGAGTTCATTTAAGATAAAATATCTAAAAGTATGTTTTTAGAAATTTTCCTCAAACTCTTTTTAATTTAAACATATTTTTTACCTCCTTTTTCTCCATTTACATTAAAAAAAATCATTCAAACAAAGAAAAACATAAACCATAACTTTGAATAAAAAACAAGATTGAAATCTATTCATTAATGAGTTTTAGATAACTGGAAAAACACAGTGATCAAAATAATAAAGACGTCTAAAATAAGGTATATTTATTAACAATAATATTTCTAAATAAAGTTGTAGTGAACAAGAATACGAATGAGGACAATCGAATGTATTTGAACACAAAATTACAGAAGACCTTACTAAAATCTGATAGCCACACAGTAAATGGTTAATTTGTAGAATATCAATCAACTGTCTCAAACTTGACTGTTCCTTTAGCAAATTTCAATCCATCGTCTCAGATTTCACTGTTCGTGTATTTTCATACCAATTGCTTTCCATCCGCGTTGTTTCCTTCTAGATCATTTACTGAAATACATTCTATTCCTGACCATCGTTATATACCACTTATATGGATATAAGTAGCTCACACCACAAAGTAATTCAATATAAAAATAATCCATTAGTTCTCTACACTATTCTAACTATCACCACATATAAACTATTATAATCAAAGAAGGGTTTTTGTGAATAGTATAGTAATTTTTTTATTTAAATTCATAAGTCAATTGAAATTGGACCAGCATGGAAAACCTGGAAGCACTGGATGACCGTTTTGTCTTAGTATGGGATTCCTTAGCAGTGTATATCCACGATCCCCTCTCGCAAGATTCAAACCCAGAACATATCAAACTTGTGCGCAAGCGCTTACCCACTAGAACACTGAGCCAGCATCCAACAGTGTTAATGTCTAACTTCAAAGTTTGGTTTAATGTTAGTATTGTGGTCTAGCTTCAATTGACTCATGAATTCAACTATGAACTACCGATTAATTTTTTTCTCCTATTAAAAGAATCAAATAAATAAATTTAACATTGCTGTGCTGATTAATCTTAGAAAACAATAAAATATTTAGTTAGTACCTGGAATTAAAGAATAATTTCATTCAATGGGACAGATATTGATAAGTAGCTGTTTAAATGTGTTTCATATTATGTCTCATCAAATCAGCAATTGTTACTGTAAAAAGTTTACTAATTATCCTTATAAAAAAAGTAGATCATAAACTTCAAAGATACTGAAAAGATATGATAGGAATTTACATTTATTTTATATGCTTTAAGTCTAGATTGGAATTAGTTGATAATTAGTTCATTTATTTAGTATTTGTAATGTCTGCAAAATAAAATTCACTATATGTATAAGATTTTTATTGAATAAAAACCTTTACATATCTGGTTTGCATCATTGATGGACACGGTGGATCTGAAGCGGATGTGTAGACGTGGATCGGAAAAGCAAGAGCAGCATATCTACAATTGAAGAACATCTGGAACTCAAAACAACTGTCAGCTTACACCAAAGTCAGAGTTTTCAATATAAATGTCAAGATACACTTCGTATTGTTTTGCTTGTATCTTCTCATAGAGGTTTAAGACTGCAATTGATCAATCTGATATTGGCATATGTGCATACTGTGCGTATGCATCGATATTACCTGAGTTTACAAGCTTTTGTAAGCAAAGATGGGTAGTGGCTAGCAGTGAAACTCAAACACAGTACCATTTGCTTCAAACGCCATCGCGTCCCAGTGTGAACATCAACTCTGAGATGCAGATACATCCAGCTGAAGAGTCCCGAATAGAACGAAACGCGCGTCCTGGATTCCACTGCTAGCCACTATCCATCTTTGATTATAAATGTCAAGATAGATCTATCGTACGGAGTGGTGACGTGGAGAACTAAGAAAGCCATCATCCAGAAGATACAAGTGTTTGCTAACAGCCGTCTACGCAAAATACTTCGGATCCGTTGGCCAGACGCTATCAGTAACAACCTACTGTGAGAGAGAACAAGTCAGGTCCCAGCAGAGGAAGAAATCAGAAAGAAGCGCTGGAAGTGGGTAGGACACACATTGAGGAAAGCACCCAGCTGCATCACAAGACAAACCCTCACATGGAATCCTCAAGGCCGAAGGTGAAAGAGAAGGCCAAGGAACACATGGAGACAGACATGAGAAAAATGAACAACAATTGGAAAGAACTAGGAAGGAAGGTTCTGGACAGAGTGGGTTGGAGAATGCTGGTCAGTGGCCAATGTTCCACTGAGAGTAACAGGCGTAAGTAAGCAAGTAATATTTATAAGATTTTTAGTCAATATAATACATGATATATATCATACCGTCTTTATCTATACTATTTACGTACTGTTAGTTTTTTTATTTACCATGGTAAAATATCAACGTTTACTTGGGATCTGATAATCACCAACGAGACGTATGTATTACCTCAATAGACTAAAATATGAT